CGCCCAACTGGGCTTGCGCACGCAAGCCATCCGCAAGCCACAAGTTACCGCTGGGCATGCTGGACCCGCTACGTGCGGGCTGGACATAACGACTGGCATCTCGCCGGTTGCACGGCGACTTACTCCGGCAACTTCGACTCAAATCAACATAACATGACATAATGAACTCGAAAATGCATATAATGCACGAAGGACCTCGACTAGAAAATGAAATGGCTCAGTAGGGCCTATTTGGCGCCTACAAAAGCAAAACGACCGAACAGTGAGCCTTGGCTACAAAATGTCTACATGCTTAACCTTATATGATGAAATGCTTACTAATAAAATACTAATACAAGCTTACCTTTTGATTGCTCGCGAATGGTACTAAGGTTCGTGCGTTCGCCCGCGTCCGCTCGGTAAGCGCGTGCTTGGCTTTCTCGGCGAGGGCTTAGTTACGGTAATCCTTGGTTAAATAAAATGATTTTAAGCTTAATGAACTCATGTTTGTATGCATATCCTTGGTTGGACTAAACAATAACTTTTCCTTTCATTTTTCCTCTTAATTTTTCTTCTCAGTTTTTGCTCTCTTGGATTAATTTCTAAGTTACGGATGGAGTTTGTGAAATATGGTAAGTATAAGGTGAAATAGTTTCCACCCACATCTGGTAGAAGGCTTAATATAGCGAAAAAAATAACAAATGGAAGTAGAAAATATGGATTATCATCACTTTAGCTAACGACACTTGTCATTACATGAGGCTAAAATTGAGGGACACTAACCATAGCCTAATCCACGCGTCACCATGCTACAAATTTGGTCATGTGATGTAGTATCATTACACAGGCTGAATATCACTTGGCCTAATTAATAATTTACGGTTCAGCAAACGGGCTTAAGATATATATTGACCAAATTTACTCAATTTCGGTCAGGACTCGACTTCGACGATAAATTTGAATGTCTCAATTTCGAACAATACATCGACTTAAAATAATTAATTCCGACTAATAATATCCGTTTATAAAATAAACGTATCAGAATTAATTATCGAAACTGATTCGGTTATTGGAATAATTTAAAACCGAATACTCTTTCGACTAATTGTCGAACTTATACTAAAACTGAATAACTGGTTTGAACTCAACTTTGAAGATTAATCGAATATTTTTAATTCAATTAATACGTCAATACTGGATTAATTAATCCCAACTTGTTGATGTCCATTTATTAATTAAACGAACTGAGATTAATTACTATCATTGACTCGGTTAATAAAATTAACCGGATATACTTTCGACTTAACGTCGAACTTGAAATTTACCTTAGCTGAATAACTTAATCTTGAACATTGTCATGATTTTTTTTTTTTTAAAAAAAAACAAGGCTAGCTTATATTTCAAAGCTAGTATTTTCCTTATTAATAAAATTTGGGGCATTACAAATAAGTCTTTAATAAGTGTTAAATTTTGAACTTTTTTTGCCGTTGGATGTTGGAATCGTATGGCTAAGATTTATTCTTATTTCTCACCCTAAGCACCATTCTCACCAGAGCGCGACCATGTATCTATATATAATATTTCAAGTTTGTCCATTGCAAATGGAGCTGGAAGAGTCATGGTTGACAATTCTCCTAGCATAGTGCTAATAATGGACTAGATCAAAATGGCTCAATTAAATTCTAGTGCTTCTTCTATTAGTGTAGTTTCTAGAAAAAAAAATATATCAAACGACGCAATGCACCTTGGGTCGCTACGGAAACAGCCTCCTTGTATAATTACAAGGGTAAGGTATGCGTACAACAGACCCTCCAAACCCCAACCAATTGGGAATATACTGGGTATGTTGTTGTATATATAATATTTCAAGTAAACACAAACATTTTTAATGAAAAATCATATGCATTAGATCGTGAACATTGAATACTATAAAAATTTTATTATTTCATAACTCTGCACCCACACATAATATACTCCCTTGATTTTATTCAATTCTCACAGTACAAAACAAAATTGGTTTCACAAAGAAACCAAAGACAATTACTTGATATTTTTCCCAATTTTACAGGTAAAATATTTATTTGTATGTATGCTAATAAAAAAGCACACACTTTACACATTCACAAGAGGAGCGAAGTAGTCTTGTTAATGCAACTACACAATAAATTATGTTCTTATATTCTATGTACAAAAAGATTTGACTGGCATATAAAACGAAATCTTAATCAAAAAAGGATGAGAACAACAAAGCTTCAGGAATATAGAAAAACCACTTGTCATTGCTGCTAAGCTGCAGGCTTTGAGTCCCAAGTACAACTCACTCATGTACCACATCCACATACATTTGCCCTCCAATTTTATTTTATTTTTCGTCTTCTTCGAATTGAAACTAAATTTAAGAACAAATTTGCCCATAAACAAATCTGTTTCAACACAATTCATTTTAACATGTTAATAATGGGGAAAAAGAAGAAGAAGAAGAAAGAAGCAGTCATCTTTAAATATTACAAATGCATTTCTAATATATGTTTCTACTTTACACCTTTCAAGATTTACAAATGAAGTTTGTATATCATAATTGTATACATCCCAAAAGATAACTAAATTTGTGTAAGAATGCTAAACTTAATCGTTCTTGTAATTCAACCCTACATTAGAATGGCACATCTGCTAGCAATTTCTAAAATAGAATTCATAGATGTTACAACTTTCAGATTTATAAGAATATTCAGGAAATAGTACTTGCCAGACAATGAAATCGAAGCTCTATTGATTCTCTCATGATACTTCAAAATGCAGAATCTGAAGTCAGTACTGAGCTTATGGCGGCCAGAACACCATACCTCATGAGCTTATAGCTTTCCATGCTCATGTTTGTGTCTTCCATTTCAATGGTCGAGCAACGCCTTGGCTCCATATTGCGTTCCCAGAGCTTCAACATTTGTGGACCAAACATGTTGACTACCCTAATAGGTTACTAAACAGTAGTCATATAAGGGCATCTTAGAGAATATTTACAATGATAAACAAATATCAATTTTTTATTTATTTATTTACTTACCGTTAAAAGGAGAGCGCAGGGGAAACAAATGTGAAGTCCTGCAAAAAAAGTTTACTGATCTGAACAGATAAAAATGACAACCATAGGCTTACCAGTGATCTAAATTACCAGAGAACACATTTACATGCTAAGAAGCCCTTACTATTTACCAAGCAGTTTATAACCATAATCAAGAATCGAAAATAATCGCAACCAACCAGGTACAGAACTTTCTCAAACCCTAAAGCCCAAAATCCATAAATATTAGCATTTTTAAGGTGACCTGAAATGGGATAGAGGCAAGACAGATTCTCCAGTTTCACCATGAGAAATCAGTCTCTTTTTACGTAACTCTTCAGCCAATATATGCCTAAACCCGTCATTATTTACATCCTTCACGAACAATAACGATTTTATATTTTCACCATATCCGCAAGAACCACATAAACATGCACAAAGCACAGTCAAAGTGCATACAAATTAGGGCATATGAAGAGAAAGAACCAATTTTTACCCACTTCTTCTGCTCCTCCGCCACCACGAACTCGTCGTCCCCGTCATCCAACGGCAGCGCTACCCCCATCTTCTCCACTATGAACACCATGTCCATTCTCTGCTCCGGTAGGTCGGCCACCCGATCATCGGCATCCCGCGCATAACAGCCTCTAGGATGGAGCTCCAACCGCAGTGGGTCACGAATCCGGCCGCCACGTGTTCCACACCACTCTATGTAGGGCCAACGACTTTATCACGAAAGTCTTGCCCTTAATCCTCTTAAGAAACCCCTTCGACAGACATTTGCAGATCAAACACATAAATATTTCTCAACCAAATAAAAAATGGAGGCAAGAATCAAAATTCATTAATTACACTAACCAATTGACAATTGCAATTTTCACATCAAAACCAAAAAAAAAAAAAAAACAATAAATTTACCCTGAGAAACCCGCCGTACTTTATCATTTGTCGGAATTCGTTGAAGTTGACCCTCCGTCGCCACCTAAGTCGACCCTGACAATCTAACTTCGGTACTCATCCATTGTCTTCACCTGCTTCTGCCCCAGTGCCGCCAGCACCAACCTCAGCTCATCCGACATGATGAACCCACCCCGTCCCAAACGAAAACCTTAAACACCTCCCGCATGTCCTCTTCACTGTCAAACCCCTCGTCGCCTCCGCTATCTGCCATCACCGCCGCGTATAGGGCGCTGAATCCCTCGGCGTCCGTGGGCGTCAATCTTCGCGACCATCGCCCGCAACTTGTCCTCCAGCACGCATATTCCAAGATTCACTATCGACTCGCTGAGCTCATCCCAACTGATGTTGTCGTCGTCGTTCATCGAGCTTGGAGAGGACCCGATGGAGCTCCACCGTGCCGGTCTTCTCATGTGCAGCCCTTATGCGAGAATTGGTTAGATTTGATTTTGATGGTCATTTTTCAGCCAACAATTTTGGGAGAGACGGGGAAAATTATGGATTGTTGTAAATATTAAGTTGTGGACATTACCTAGATATAGGATTTGTAGGTATGGGCCAGAAGCCCATTAGGTATTTACTCATGTACATTATATTCCCTTATATATAGGGCTCAAGTGAATGAATAAGATGATGATTTTTAACGGCGTATCTCTTCTCTCTTATTCTCTTCTTCTCCTACTGTTTCTATCTTTGTCTATTTTACACATAGATTTTACATATTGTCAATCTATATTACAATACGTTATCAGCACTAGTACTCTACCATCTACATCTAAGCGAACGAAGGCGGCATCGAGATGAACGAACAATCAAGGTAACAATCAAGAATTGATGTATGAACGGACAATCAAGATAACAATCAAGAATTGATGTATACTCTAGAAAAGAATCGTGTCTTTTCTGTCAAGGTAATATTCAAGATCTATTCAACATCAACAATTATATATTAGTTTTAATCAATTTTAATTATATTTATTGTGTTTTCAATTTTGGGATTTATTTCCCAATTACGGATGTTATTATATGGATTGAGATCATGTGAAGTGTAGAATCTATAAACATGATTTCGTATATGCTCATCTATTTATTGTCGGACATCTGTATCGTACTTGAATAAATTTAGTTTGAACAGAGCCTTCACGTGATTTGAGGTTGGCACGTAAATTTGGAATGTATAAGGATTTGTTTCATTATGTTGAATGATCAAATTTGTGAGTTTTGATTAAGGATCCAATATAATTTTGTTAATTATTTTCCTAAGAACCCATGAGTGCTGTAGTATTGATGTTTCATTTGGAGACCAAATCATGCATCTTATTTTGGAATGGTTTTAAAGCATGTGTTCTATGATTATGTGGATTCAAATAATATTGATTCCCCAAAATCCAATATGTGTAATTTGTTTGATATATTATTTGGGGAACTGTTCAACTTGGAATTTGAAAATTAGTTTGAGTTGATTAGATTGAAGCATGAATGTAATTATTTGCATGGACTGTTGCATGGACTGGATTAGTTTTATGTGAATTAAAGGTTAAACCTTTAAATCTTTTTCGGTCTTAGAATTTTAAATTTTGGAATTTAAATTTAGTATGAAGTTTTATATATTTTGAGAAATTATTTCATTGGCATGATTTTTGTGTAAGAATTCGGATATGAATAATATGGATTATTTCAATATATATATGGACTTGAAATTTTTGGCATGATTTTGGATGAGATGAAATTTGGTCATTATTGAACTATTATATGTTCGTTTAATTAAAAATTATGGACTGAATGATGGATTATATAATCTGCATTATTATAGTTTCACTTACATCATTTGAAAATCTTTAAAAATATTTCTCTTTAATGTTTTTAGTGCTATAAGAAATCATGTGGTATTATAAGTATGTTTATTGTGTATGAGAGGAAGGTTATACACAAAAAGGTGGTGGAAATATTGGATATATAATATTTATGTTGCATAGCTCAATTTATGACATATCTTTATAATATGGTTGGATGAGATGATAGACTTGTGCAATTATGAAAATAATGGAGTATTTTTACAAAAATATGTATCTAATATCTATCCAAATGTATAAGGTTCAATTGAATATTAGTAGTCCCAGAAGGATATTAATATTAAACATTGATGGATAAAATGAGTAAAATAATGCATCAGTTGTCTATAACATGTCAACCAATATTTCATTTATCGATAGCTTGTAAGTTGACGATGAAGTTTTTAGACACTCCTTGAAGGATCTTCTATAAGTCAACAATTATGTTTTTATATACTCCCTGAAGGATCAATACTGACTTAAGTATCTCCCATAAATTCATAGTGAAGTTTTGGTATACTCCCTGAAGGATCAACACCAATACAAATATCAAAGTATTACACTATGAGTAAGTATTAATGACTAATTAAGATGCTATCGATTATTTTATGATTTGCCACGAACAGTTTGTATTCCCGAAGTAATACATTAAAATAATGAAATCCAACCAAATCTAGTTCATTGAGATTGTATTAGTGCCATAAGCACATGTACAAAAGTATAATTTGTCACATAAGACATATGATAGAAAATTATATCTGTTATATAAGACTATTCGTTTCCTTGATTTAATTGTTCTCATTTGTATATGAGCATCTCTTGTTTGATATGTATGCTTTTATTATTATTGACATTACTTGTTAAGATTTGAAAGTGGTAACACCCGTAAAATATGCCCAGTAGACATATTCTCCAGATAAGGATTATTTTCGATGATGAAGGAAGAAAAATATTATATAACTTATGTAATGAAATTTCTCATATTTCAGTTATTATACTCCTGAAGAGTTATAAAATAAAAATATCCACATATTTTATTGTTTTGTACATGCATATGAATACGCATGAAGCATATGTGGATTAATTTTAGCATGTGAATTGTGTATGTTCTTTGGTATGCAATTTGTATAGTTATTTTCTACTTTTGCCATGAATTGCAGAGTCAATATCTTGTTGAAATTTATGCATATTTGAGTTTCCCTGAAGGAATCTATAATTAAAAGTATCAATAGTGAATTTGAATATCGACCTAGATTTGATTATTCCTGAAGGATTGGTCATGTTAACCAACATCATAATTGCATAAGAATTATCTAGCGAGGATCTTTGACAAATTGATCTAGTAAGTAATCTCGTTGATTTTTGGATAAATTCGTGATTTTTGTTATTTTATATTAGCTCTGCATATTCAACATACTTTTAATGAAGTTATGTAACCAAAATGTTACATAGATTGAATCTATACAAAAGTATTATGAAATTATTTATGTTTGCTTGTATATTTGATAAGATGCATACCACAGACTTATATTGTTGATAGCTATAATGTTAATTTATATGTGGTGCCTGAAGCATATAATATAGTTTATAGCTACAATAAAAGGCTCACAAGCAAAGTATAGTTGTAGTGCCTGAAGCATATAGTGTTCACTTAGAACTGATTATTATACTTCGATGCCCAACTTATATATTGATAATTAGCATGAGCAGTTGGATCATATTGGGCAATTATTTATGAAAATTTCCCCCTAATATGCATGGAGAATCAAGCATTTCCCATCTGCAATTTATTGTTACATTTTTTTCACCACCAATTCGTACCTTTATGGACCTATATTACAAACTAGGTATGCTATTTTTTTTATACTCCGTTGAATCTTTATACCTAGAGGCCCTTATGGGGATCAGTTTATTATTTGGTACGTGTTTTGCATAATACATGAAGATGATTTCATGGCATTAGGGGGAGATATGAGCATAAGTTTATTAATGCCATGAAATATGTGAAATATAAATTTGTTGAAACCACGCAATAAATATTGAACTTGAAGTTCATATTATATTTCTGCCAAGTGAAATCTATAATAATAATGGAGTGGCCAATTTATAAATATATCGATGTACCACAAAGTAAGCAAATTTCCTAGGGAATGATTGACTCCTTAGTGCTAGAAGCATAAGGAGATATAATAAATATATGATGTATGAAAGTCCGCGGAAAATGTATATTCAAGAATTAACACTCCTTTATGAGAAACTCCTAAAGAGTTGATCCAGTACATCTTGCACGTGCATCAAACCATTATAGTACTGGAAATGCGGAACGGACAAAATTAGATATTATGGGAAATGATTATAAATATGGCTAATAAATAAGAAGTTGCATATATGGTTGAGAGAAAAATATAAGTTGAATATCATAGTTGTCGACAACATACTTGCCTATGTGATTTCTTTACTATCTCAAATAATGATCCGGATCCAAATAATGAAAGTGCCAGAAGCACTTAGGTTGATTGAGATAGAAAGGATAATTGAGGCAGAGCTTTCACTCGCTACAAGATATATCCCAGAAGGATAACATGTCCCAGAAGGATAATGAATATTTATATGAAATATGTGATGTGGTGGTGTGATGTAAATATAGCGAGATTATGCTCATGGGTTTATGCAGAGACCCAAATATTTATTTAGATATGTTCTCTCATTATCAATGATTCCGCAAGTTAATATTTATGACAACATTATTACAATGACTATTGAGTCATATGTGAAAGTCCTGGATGGACTCGAGTACCCGAGATGAAAGATAATTAAATGATAAATAGTTTCATTATTTAAAGTTGTTGGTGAGATGTGGTACAACCAACTAAATTCTTCCTGAAGAAGTAAAATAAGAAATTCAAGGTAGAACCTTGTGTATAAAGATAATATACAAAATGATCATCTCGACCAAATAGATTATGTGGTGAACACTATGTA